TGAATTGGATAGGCTTTGGGTGTTCCTCAAAGGTCCATGTATTGTAAGCTCCGTCCCCAGGGTGGCAGTATCAGCAGATGAAATGGAGCCTTCAAAAAGATGGAGCCTAGTAGAAGCTCCTTGGGTCAACTGAGGGCACTGCCTTGGGAAGGAGTTAAGGTAGCTCTCACAAGAATGTTGCTACAACCGTTGCCTGGTTTCACCTGGCAATCTCTGTCTTCCTTTTGGCAATGTGATCACTGGCACCCACACCAGCTCCTGCATGTGCTCCTTCATTGCTATACACCGTGACACAGTTAGGAGGTGCTTCACTAGAAATGATTCAATGCCAGTGCCATTGCCCTTAAGCCTCCAAAACTGTGAGATAAAGAAACTTTTCTTCTTAACAAAGTTGGTCTGCCTCGGTGACTTCATTATAATAATGAAAAGCTGACTAATATAACATAGTGTTGTATCTGGGGTAGCTTTCACCATGGCATGCACTACCATGCACTACTATGCAGTCCTGGGGATTGACCTTAGGCTGTGCATATGCTAGGCAAGTGCTCTACCAAGGAGCTTCATATTTGGTTCCCTGTTCATTGATTTTTTTTTTTTTTTTTTGGTACTGATACTGGGGCTTGAACTGATACTGGGGCTTGAACTTTGCACTCCTGCTTAGCTTTTTCATATCATGGCGGGTGATTTATCACTTGAACCACATCTCCACTTCTGACTTTCTGCTCATTAATTAGAGATAAGGATCTTTCCCAAAACAAAGGAGGGTGTAACAATGCCTGATATGAAATGTACTCATTACCTTGCTCACGTAACTGTAACCCCTCTGTACAGTATCTTTACAATAAAAAAATATATTAAACAGCTGGGCGCCGGTGGCTTACACCTGTAATCCTAGCTACTCAGGAGGCTGAGATCTGAGGATCACAATTCAAAGCCAGCCTGGGCAGGAAAGTCCATGAAACTCTTATCTTCAATAAACCACCAGAAAACAGAAGTGGCGCTATTGCTCAAGTGGTAGAGCACTCACCTTGAGCTGAAGAGCTGAGGGACAGTCCAAGCCCAGAGTTCAAGTCCCATGACTGACCAAAAAAATAAAAAATAAAAAAATATACATATATATATTAAGAGAAAAAAAAAAGGATTGTTCCCATTAGCTTGCCTGGGCTGACTTTAAGTTTCTCAGATTTCAGCTCCTGAGTTATCAGGATTGTGGCTGTGAGTCACCAGTGCCTGGCTCCATCCACTGATCTTTGACAAGGGTGCGAGAATATGAAAATGAGGAAAGAAAAGTCTCTTCAACAGTTCTGGCACAACTGGATTTCTATATGAAGAAGAGTGGAAGTAGATCTTTACCTCATACCACATACAAAATTAAAATGAACATTTATTAAAGACTTAAACATCAGATCAGAAACTTTAAAACTTCCAGAAGAAAGAGTAGAGGTGGTAGAGTGCTTGCCTAGCATGCATAGAGCACTGGGTTCTATTACTCAGCACCACATAAACAGAAAAAGCTGGAAGTGGTACTGTGGCTCAAGTGGTAGAACACTAGCCTTGGGCAAAAGCTCAGGGACAGTGCCAAGGCAGGCCCTGAGTTCAAGCCCCAGTACCAGCAAAACAAAACAAAACAAAAAGAGTAGGGGAAAAGTTACATGACATTAAAAAAAATATATGATCACAAAAGAATAGGTGACAAAAGCAAAAATAGAGCAATTAGATTACATTAGGCTGTACAACTAAGGACACAATCAACAGAGTGATTACCTATGAAATTGGAGAAAATATTAGCAAACCATATATCTAGTAAGGAGTTAATACTGAAATATAAAAGGAACTGAAATAACTCAATAGCAAGAAAATAAATGATTCGATTTAAAATTGATAAAAAGCCGGGCGCTGGTGGCTCATGCCTGTAATCCTAGCTACTCAGGAGGCTGAGATCTGAGGATCATGGTTCAAAGCCAGCCTGGGCAGGAAAGTCTGTGAGACTCTTATCTCCAATAAACCACTAGAAAACTGGAAGTGGTGCTGTGGCTCAAGCGGCAGAGTGCTTGCCTTGAGCTGAAGAGTTCAGGCCCCAAGAAAAAAAAAAACAAAAAACAAAAAACTGATAAAAAGATCCATGAAAATTATAGACATTCCTTTGAGAAGACATATGAATAGCCAGCATACATATGGGAAAAATGCTTGTCATTAATTACCAAGGACATGAATATTAAAATCATAATGAAGTTTGAGGCAGTAGCTTACACCTAAAATCCTAGTTTCTTGGGAGCCTGCGATTGAGAGGATCTTGGTTCAAAACCAGCCTAGACAAAATTGGTATGAGAGTCTTTTCAAACTCATAAGCTGGGAATGGTGGTGTGTGCCTGTCAACCCAGGTACAGTAGGAATTGTGAAATAGGAAGATCACAGCCTTAATGTGTACCTGGACAGAAAGTGAGATCCTATCTCAAAAATAACTAGTTGTGAGCTAGGCACCAGTGGCTCCTGCCTGTAATTCTAGCTACTCAGTGGACTGAGTATCATAGTTTGAGGATTATAATTTGAAGCCAATCTAGCCAGGAAAGTCTGTGAGACAATTATCTCTAATTAAGTACCCAAAAAGCTGGAAGTAGAGCTGTAGCTCAAGTAGTAGAGCAGAGGTCCTAAGCCCTAGGACCAGCACACACACACACACACACACACACACACACACACACACACACACACGTGCAATAAAGGGCTGGAGGGGTAGTTCAATATTAGACTGCCTGCCTAGCAAATGTGAGGCCCTGAGTTCAAACCCCAGTACAGACAAAAACAAATATATAATGAGCTATCACTTTATACCTATTAGAAAAAAACTACTATAAAAATGTTGAAACTGGGCACCAGTAGCTCAGCCTGTAATCCTAGCTACTAAGAAGGCCGAGATCTAAGGATCACAGTTCAAAGCCAGCCTGAGCAGGAAAGTCCATGAGACTCTTATCTCCAATTAACCACCAGAAAACCAGAAGTGGCTCTATGGCTCAAGTGGTAGAGGGCTTGCCTGAGTTAAAGAGCTCAGGGACAGCGCCCAGGCCCAAAGTTCAAGCCTCAAGACCAACAACAACAAAAAATGTTGATGCAGATGTGGAATAAAGGAACCCTGTATACTGTGGCTATGAAGGTAAATGAGTACAGTCATTATGGAAAAAATATGAAAATCCCTAAAACAATTAAAAATAGAACTACTACCTGACCAACAACCCACTACTGGCTATATATCTACAGATGAAATTTGTATGTTGAAGCAATAGTTGCATTCCCACGTTCACAGTTGTCAAGATAGAGAATCAATCTCAGTGTTTATCCACATGAATGGATAAAGTAGATGTTGCTTACATTAATAAGGAAATACTCTGCAGCCTGAAAAAGAAGGGAATTCTGTCATTTATGAAAACACAGATGAATCCATATGACATTATGTTGTGAAACAAATCAGGCCCCAAAAAGCAAATACTGCATCTCTCTTATATGTGGAATTTATTTTGTTGTTGTTGTTTTGTTGGTCATGAGGCTTGAACTCTGGGCCTGGGCACTGTCCCTGAGCTCTTCAGCTCAAGGCTATCACTCTACCACTTGAGTCACAATGCTGCTTCTGGTTTTCTGGTGGTTTAATTTATTTTTTTGGAGATAAGGGTTTCACGGACTTTCCTGCCCAAGCTGGCTTTGAACCATGATCCTCAGATCTCAGCCTCCTGAGTAGATAGGATTATAGGTATGAGCCACTGATGCCCGGTTTCTATGTGGAATTTAAAAAAGCTGAACTCATAGAAGTTGTGAGTACCCCATATTATTCTGTATATGCACTGTTTATTGTTTTTCCTTATAGCAACTTTCACAGTTTTCATTCCCCCCCCACCCCCCCACTGGTTGAAAAGATTTTCCAGTTCCCCTCTTCCCCACTGGTTTATGAGTTCCACAAAGCCAGTGTCCATGTGTCTTGTGTCGAATACATAATAAACCCTTTCCAGAGGCTTCACTAAGTTTAGAAAGAAAGCCCTGAAATATCCTGGCCCTGTTCTCCAGATAGATTCCTGCAGCATCCATACCTTCTCTCTTTTGATTCTCTTGGAATACAATAGGAGTTCTCTGGCCAGGGCCAATCTCTAGCAGGAAACTCCTCACATTCTTGATTCTTTGGACTATGTTCTCTCCTCCCCCGCCACCCCTCTCCCCCTCGGTGGTGCTATTAAGATTTGAATTTATGGCTGACCCATGCCTCCAGCCTTTTGAGTTGGTTGAGATAGGGTCTAGCTTCTGACACCACTGCACCAAGACCAGGATACCACAATCCTCCTATTTTAGGATTCCCTTGTATCTAGAATGACAGGCACGAGCAACCTAGTTCAGCATCTTGCATTGAGATTGAGTCTGTTGGGCTTTTCTGCCCAAGCTGACCTCCAAACGACCATCCGTGAGCTCCAGTAGTTAGATTAGCGGCAGAGCCACCGTGCCCTGCTGCAGGCTCATCTTCATTAACCCTTTCTTACCAACATTCAAAGATGCTCGCATTAAACTACCAACCAACCAATCACAAACTCCGAATTCTGTCAGCTTCAGGTCAGCCTGTGGCGGCCTCTTCCCTTGACTTTCAGGACTCTGCGGGCTTACATCCTTAGCCTTCTTCTCACGCTTTTTTTTTTTTTTAAATTGGGATTTCTCAAGATCCTTTTCAGCCCTCTTTGAAAACACGAGTGCTGTGCGTGGGGTCGGGAAAGAAGAGGCACTAACGCGGGGTTACAGAGCATAGGGACACAGTCGATGAGGACACGGAAAAGCACGTGAAAGGACGAGGTCACCGAGGCTGCGCGCGCCGGGAGAGGACCCGAACCTCTGTGACGCGCGGCAGGATTAGGAGAAAGAAAAAGCGGAGCTAATTGTGCAACCTAGGCAGAGGGCGCGCGCGCAGGCGCACAGCGACGGCCGCGCGCCTGCGCAGTGCTCGCCCGACGTCTTTTGGGCCGAGGACGAAGTAGTGGCGGCGGCGGGTCTTCCGGAAGCCCACCCTTCACCCGGAAATGGTTACTGAGGAACATGGCGTTGCTGGTGCGAGTCCTTGTGAGTGCAGGAGTAATTCTCGGGGGTCGCATGCCGGGTCTCCGGGTTGGAATCGGAGAGGCGGGTCAGGCGGAGCGGGAAGAAGGTGCTAGAGGGGAGCTTGCGAGGCCATTGGGCTGCCCTGCCCATTTCTGCCGGGAAATCGAAGCAGCTGCCTGTCTCCTCTGACCCCTGATTCGGCCTGGTCCCCTCTCGCTGTCTTGGAGGAGGGCGTGCCAGTTGAGCCTTATTTGGTGAGGTTTGCTTTTCCCCAGTCACCGTCTGTCACCCGTTCTCCTCCGGGAGAGGCGCCCGCCAGGCCCAGGTTGGAGCTGCAGGAGACCCTGGTTTTAGCTCTCATCTGACACTGATGCGCTGTGACCTTGGACGTGGCACTTGAATCTCTGCCCCCACGTGAAAAGTGAGGACATTTATCTCCTTGCAGTTCCATTGGATTCTGAAGTTCTCTGAGTTTATTTTAGAGATCATAAATCAACTCTTACTTGCACACTTTCAAGTGGGATATATAGACAGTATCAGGTCGAAAGCATCTTTGTCTAGCATAGTATTCGGCACATTCAAGGAGTTCAGTTAATAGTAGTTGAATGAATGAGTGAAGTAAAAAAAAACAAAAAAAAACTACCAGAGCCGGTCGCCGGTGGCTCACACCTGTAATCCTAGCTACTCAGGAGGCTGAGATCTGAGGATCGAGGTTCAAAGCCAGCTAGGGCAGGAAAGTCTAAGAAATTCTTATCTCCAATAAACCACTCAGAAAACCAGAAGTGGCGATGTGGCTCAAGTGTTAGAGCACTTACCTTGAGCTGAAGGGCTGAGGGACAATGCCCAGGCCCAGAGTTCAAGCCCTAGCACCCACCAAAAAAAAAAAAAAGACTGCCAGACTCTTAGCACCCGTTTGGGAAGCTACTCTTCCTCCTGAGATTTGGTCCCAATCCTCTTGAGGTGCACTCTTTCTAGCATACTGTGACCTCTAGGAACTAAGGAGAAAGAATGTGGCAGGAAAAGGGTTTAGGAGAATACAGAACTTAGTTCCTAATCATTGTGGGACAGTTTATAATTTTAGCAGGCTTTTCAAAAACCATCTAGAGCAGTGTTTTTCAAAACAACTAAAGCCTGTTTCTGCTACCAGTTAGCAGTTGTGATTATGTTATTCTTGGAACACTTTTAATCTTTTTTTTTTGGTCAGTCGTGGGGCCTGAACTCTGGGCTTGGGTGCTGTCCCTCAGCAATTCAGCTCAAGGCTAGCACTCTACCACTTGAGCCACAGTGCCACTTCTGGCTTTTTCTGCTTATGTAGTACTGACAAATTGAACCCAGGACCTCTTGCATGCAGGGCAAACACTCTTCCATTGAGCCACCTCCCTAGCCCACTCTTAATCTTTTTATAGATGACTTACAAAGATAACAGGTTTTTGTTTGTTTGTTTGTTTTTGGTAGGTCCTGGGGCTGGAACTCTGGGCCTGAACTCTGTCCCTTAGCTCTTCAGCTCAAGGCTAGCACTCTACCACTTAAGCCACTGGGCTACTTCTGGTTTTCTGAGTGGTTTATTGGAGATAAGAGTCTCTCTGCCTTTCCTGCTTGGCCTGTCTTTGAACCTTGATCCTCAGATCTCAGCCTCCTGAGTAGCTATGATTACAGGCATGAGCTACCAGCACCTGACTCAAAGATAGCAGTTTTTCTAATTAGCCTAGCTGGTACAGAACCCTCAATTGCTACTCAGAAAAATACATATTTGAGGAATAGTTCCTGTAATCTAAAGAAAGATTCATTTGGTGAATTAACTATTGATGCCAAGGCAGAAATTGATTCAGATGTTGAAGTGGCACTGTGGCTCAAGTGGTAGGGCACTAGCCTTGAGCTGAAGAGCTGAGGGACAGCACCCAGGCCCAGAGTTCAAGCCCCACGACCAACAAAAACAAAACAAAACAAAAAGGAATTGATTCAGATGTGAGGACAGCTAGGAAAATGGCAACTAGTATGTTCTAAATGGTATGTCTCTGTGTGTGTGGTGTTGGGATTCAAACACAGTCTTCATATATACTAGGGTAGTGCTCTACAATTAAGTTATAACCTTAACTAATTGCCTTTTTTTTTTTTTTTGGTGGGGGTTTTGGAGCTTGAATGCAGGGCCTGGGCTCTGTCCCTGAGCTGCTTTTGCTCAAGGATAGCAGTGCCCTATCACTTGAGCCTTAGTGCCACTTCCGGCTTTTTCTGTTTATGTGGTATTATGGAATTGAACCCAGGGTTTCATTCATGCTAGGCAAGCACTCTACCAATAAGTCACATTCCTAGCCTGTCCCTGAGTTTTTTTGCTCAAGGCTAGAACTCTACCACTTGAGCTACAGCTCCACTTTCAGGGTTTTTTTTGGCAGTCAATTGGAGATAAGAGTCTTGGAGACACTTGGCACTAGTGGCTCAGGCCTGTAATCCTAGATACTTAGGGGTTGATCCTCAAATCATGGTTCAAAGCCAGCCCGGGAAGGAAAGTCTGTGAAACTTTTTTTTTGTCAGTCGTGGGGCTTGAACTCTGGGCTTGAGCGCTATCCCTCAGCTCTTTAGCTCAAGGGGAGCGCTCTACAACTTGATCCACAGTGCCACTTCTGGTTTTCTAATGGTTTATTGGAGATAAGAGTCTCATGGACTTTCCTGCCTGGGCTGGCTTTCAACTGTCATCCTCAGATCTCAGCCTCCTGAGTAGCTAGGATTACAGGCGTGAGCCACTGGCGACCGACGATTGTGGGGTTTGAATAGAGTCTTGGTTGTTTTTTCCAAGCTGTCCTGGACCACCATTGTCTTTCTTTCCCCCATTCCACTGGTGCCAGTCCTGGGGCTTGAATTCAGGGCCTAGGCACTATCCCTATCCCTGAGTTTCTTTGGCTCAAGGCCAGCGCTCTACCATTTGAGCCACAGCACTACTTTCTGCTCTTTCTGGGTAGTTTATTGGAGATGAGTCCCATGCATGCACACGCACAGTCCTAGAACCTGAATCCAGAGCCTGGGTGCTGTCTCTGAGCTTCTTTTGCTCAGGGTTAGCACTCTACCATTTGAGCCATAGCTCTACTACTGGTGTTTAATTCCACTTTTGGTATGTAATTAGAGATAAGAATGTCAGACTTTCCTGCCTGGGCTGGTTTTGAACTGTGATCCTCAGATCTTAGCTGCGTGAGTAGCTAGGATTATAAGCATGAGCCACTGGTGCCTGGCTAGTTGGATCTTATTTTTATTTTTTTTTGTCGGTCGTTTGGTTTGAACTCTGGGCCAGGGCGCTGTCCCTCAGCTCTTCAGCTCAAGGTGAGTTCTCTACCACTTGAGCTACAGTGCCACTTCCAGTTTTCTGAGTGGTTTATTGGAAATAAGAGTTTCATGGACTTTCCTGCATGGGCAGGCTTTGAACCGTGATCCTCAGATCTCAGACTCTTGAGTAGCTAGGATTACAGGCATGAGCCACCTGGCACCTGGCTGTTGAATCCTTTTTATACAGTGCAGTATTGGGTAAGGAAAATCTCTTTTACTTTACTCTGTTTTCCTCAGGTTATCTTAACATACCTTATAATGTAAGTTGTGTTAGAATATTGAAAGTCCCTTAGGACTAGTTGAAAATGGCAGTAAACATGAAAACAGCAGGTTTTTGTTCACCTACTCTGAAGAGGCATTTAGGCTAAGTACTGAAGAGTTTAGTAATACAGTAAAGTGTATTGCTTTAAGAGTAAAGATATTTAGTGGACAAGTTGGCTTTACTTCCTACAAGTGGAACCATGAGCAAATTATATAACTGAGCTTCTGATGTTCTTGATCAGTAAGGGTGCTAGGGTTGGTGATCAGATCACCTGATAAGTTTATCCAGGTACAGTGGCTCATGTCTAAAAGTCTGCTTTGGAGGTAGAGGTCTGGAAGACAAAGGGTAGAGGATGGGCTTGTCAAAAATTTCTGAAATTTTCTCATTTCAACCAATAAAAAGTTGGGCATGGTGGTATGTAACTATCATCACAGATACTTTTGAAGCATAAATAGGAAGATTGTGGTCCAGGAGAGTCGGGAAATTTTTGAGACCCTGTCTCAAAAATATCCAAAGCAAAAAATGGGATATAACTCAAGCAGAGCCCCTGCCTAGTGAGCACAAGGCTCTGAATTAAAAACCCTAGTACTAGCCAGGTGCCGGTGGCTCACACCTGTAATCCTAGCTACTCGAGAGGCTGAGATCTGAGGATCACCGTTCAAAGCCAGCCTGGGCAGGAAAGTCTGTGAGACTCTCCAGTAAAACACTCAGAAAATTGGAAGTGGCATTGTGGCTCAAGTGGTAAAGTGTTAAGCTTGAGCTGAAGAGCTCAGGGACAGTGCCCACGTCCAGAGTTCAAGACCCACAGCTGACAAAAACAAAAACAAAACACACAAAAACACACAAACAACCCTAGTACTACTACTTAAAGTGGTTTCTGCCCCCTCCCTTTTTCTTGGCAGTACTAGGGTTTGAACTCAGGGTCTCAGATTTGGTAGGTAAGTGTTCTACCACTTGAGCTACACTTTCACCCTTGTGTTTTATCTTTTAAACCATTTTTACAGGTACAATTCTGTAGCATTAAGTACTTTCACTTGTCATGGTGCTGCCATTACCATCATCCACATAACTCTTTTCATCTGTAGAATTCTGGACCTATTGAAAAATAGGTCCTTCTGTAAAACATGTAACTTGCATAAGTTTACTTTTCCCCGCTTCTGGTAACTACATTCTACTTTTGTCTCTGGGTTTACTGTATAGGTGGCTCCACATAAGTGGACTTTACAGTGTTTGTTTGACTTTTTGGGACTGGTCTCAAAGTTCATCCATGTTGAATGGCATTGCTTGTGTGTACCAAATTGATCTTTTTATTGATCATTTGGTTGATTCCACATGAACATGAGTGTTTCTGTCCCTACTTTCACTTCTTTTAGGTATATACTCAGTAATGGAGTTGCTGGCTTGTTTGTAGCCCAGGATGGCCTCAGACTCAAAATCCTCTTACCTTAGCCTTCTGAGTATTGGGATTATAAGCATGTACCACCATGTCTAGCTTGTTTAATTTTTTGAGGAACCACCATACTATTTCATACAGCAAGTATGCTATTTACATTTTTACTATCAATATACAAAGGATTCAGTTTCTCTACAGCCTGACACAACCTTGTGTTTTTGTTTTGTTTTTGCCAGTCCTGGGGCTTGTACTCAGGGTCTGGGTTCTGTCCCTGAACTTCTTTTGCTCAAGGCTAGTGCTCTACCACTTGAGCCACAGCACCACTTTTTTTTTTTTTTGATTTAGTTGGAGATAAGAGTCTCACAGACTTTTCTGCCTGGGCTGATTTTGAACCACGGTCCTCAGATCTCAACTTCCTGAATAGTTAAGATTACAGGTATGAGCCACCAGGGCCTGGCTTATCCTTGTTTTTGATAGCTGCCATTCTAGTGGGTGTGAAATGATAACTCATTGTGCTTTCTTTCCATTTGTAGCTTCCTGATGACTAGTGGTGTTGATCATCTTTTCATGGCCTTATTGGATATCTTTAGAGAAATGTCCAAATTTTTTGTCTATCCTTTACTTAAGTTGGTTTTGGTGTTAGTGTTATTTATGCATTTTGGATATTAACCCTTTATTAGGTATGTGATTTGCTGGTGGCTGGGAGATCAGAATATTAAGTAAGGCATGTTTCAACAAAAGATATACAAAACAAGATTGTGTATTGATTAGTTGACAAAAATGTGTCCAGAGGCTTGCAGGAACTTAAACACAAAAACCCAGTATTTTAAAGAAAATGATTCTTTCTGGTATGCTTACATATATCAGTAATGAGTTGCTCACTATCATAATAATGCTGCCAGGTGCCAGTGGTTCATGCCTGTAATCCTAGTTACTCAGGGGGCTGAGATCTGAGGATCATAGTTCAAAGCTAGCCTTTGAAGGAAAGTCCATGAGACACTCACTCATCTCCACTTAACCACAAAAGCCTGAAGTGGAACTGTGTCTCAAGTGGTAGAGTGTTGGTCTTGAGCAAAAGACGTCAGGGACAGTGCCTAGGCCCTGAGTTCAAGCCCCAGCAACTTCCCACCCATACATAGAAAAGAAATTTTCCTTGGGGTCTGGCACTGGTGGTTTGCACCTATAATCTTAGCTTAGGAGGCTGAGATCCAGAGGATGTAGGTTTGAAAGCACTCCTGGAAGAAAAGGTCTCAAGCATCCAGCTCCAAAATACTCAACAGAAAGCAGTGTTGGGGTGGGTGGGAACTCGTGGGACACTGAAGAAAGTGAGCTATATAACTTGTAGATGGAGACAGGAGGAAGGGACTGGGAGAGAATGCAAGAACAGAAGAGACAGTGTGAAAGGAAGCATACTCATTACCTGACTCACATAATTATAATCCTTTTTATCACTTTTATAATAGCACTAAAGTAAGTTAATTGTTAAAAAGCAGTGCTGGTAGTATTGCTCAAGTGGTAGAGTGCCAGTAAAGTGAACATGAAGCCCTGAGTTCAAAGCTCAGAACTGCCAGGAAAAAAAAAATAGTTCCTTGGAACACTCCTGTGAGGTAGTTTTTACTATTTCTTTTTGTCAGATGGGTAAATGGAGACCTGACTGTTAAGTAGTTCAGGGTTACATAGCTATTTAATGACAAGCTTGGGTTCAAGCATCGTTCCACTGTACCTCAGCAGTTTCAGTGAAGGATTTGGACAAGAATTACTGTGGGATTGGAGAGGGAAAGAACACTGCTGATTACTCCTTTCTTCTAATACAAACTAGTTTCAAGTATTGGCCTGACACCAAATAGAGCTAAAAACAGAAAAAGATTTTGTTGATATTGGAAATAACATGATGAAATTCTTAAGAATTTTTTTCTAAGTTTGCATTATTTCTACTTGTAATTTCTTCCTGCTTCCATTCTGACTCTGTAAACGTTTTTTTATCTCAACTTATATTTACATTTTAGGAAAGGAACACCTGCCATTGAGTGATTCTGGTAAATCTGTCATTAATAAAACACAAGTAACTATCTCTTACTTGGAAACAATTCCACCAGATCAAACCTCAGTTGGAAAAAGTATTTTTAGCTTTACTTTTTGTTTATTTATTTATTTTTTTGAGTCAGTTTCACTACATAGTCCAGGCTGGCTTGAAATTCAATATTTCTGCCTCAGCATCCAGATCATAGCTTGGATTATAGATGTGAGTGAACACACCCAGCTTTTACTTTTCATTTGAAATAAAAAGTGCTATGAATGACTTATTATAAAAAGTTATATAGTTTTATAACTCTGAAACACCTTAGTAAGTCTTAGTATCTGTAGGTAGAATTCTAATGCCTTTCCCTACCTCACTCTGACACTTCTTGACTACCAAGAAGGATGGAGATTAAATTCAGCTTAATAAGGAGTTAGGCACACTGGGGAGTACATTTTTGTTTTTTGTTTTTTTTTTTAATCGTGGAAAGTAGTGATTTTATTTTATATAGGAAAGGCTACCACGCTTCATAGAGGTTGATTTTTAGCCAACAGTCAACTCAGTGGTTTTGTTTTTGTTTTTGTCAGTCTGGGGCCTTGAACTCAGGGCCTGGGCACTGACCCTGAGCTCTGGCTCAAGGCTAGTGCTCTACCACTTTGAGCTACAGCTCTACTTCCAAACTCAGTGTTTTCTGACTCCATGTGTATATAATTGCTCTAGACTCTACCAGTGAATTTATCTGTAGTGTTAGATCTAGAAGAAACTGGAGATAATCCCTTCACCCTTTCATTCTATAAAAGAATATGGATTCAGTTGGGCGCCGGTGGCTCACACCTGTAATCCTAACTACTCAGGAGTCTGAGATCTGAGAATCACGGTTCAAAGCTAGCCAAGTCAGGAAAGTCCATTAGACTCCAATAAACTACTAAAAAAAAACTGGAAGTGGCACTATGGCTCAAGTGGTTGAGTGCTTGCCTTGAGCTGAAGAGCTCAGGGACAGTGGCCAGGCCCAGAGTTCAAGCCCCATGACTGACCAAAAAAAAAAAAAAAATGTGGATTCTGGAGTTGGATCACTGGGTTTCCCCGTTGTAAAGCAGATGTTTATTAACTCTGACATTGGGAAATGTTTCTGCAATATAAGTGAAGTATTAACAATATATCTAGGCCACTTTGTGGTGATTATGAGGCTTCAATATTGAGAGTTCCACCCTCTCCTTGCATCATTTGTTCCTGTGGCAACCAGCTAGTTCCCTCTCCTCTAAGGGTCACCTTCATCTCAGCAGGATTTTAGAAGCTCTATTTCAGCAAGTAGTTATGAATGCATGTTTCATACTTTGTCACAATGTCACAGGTACACTGTACTGAGTCTGCTAGAGATTATTAACCATGTTTTTCTTTTTCTAGAGGAACCACACCAACATTTCCCAGTGGGTTCCAGTATGCAGCAGCTTGTTTCCAGTGTGTCCTACTCAAGGACAGTGGGGCAGGACTCTGTCTGGCACTTCCCAGGTAAGATTTGTTGTTCCTTTGCTTGGTATGAAAACCTTAGTGTTTATGTGCAAATGTCATATATTTATAGATTATTAGCCAACCAAATTGTGTTGGAAAGGAAAATGGAAAAACTTCATGAGACTGCTCTGGATCAGGGCAGGACTGATTCCTGCAGGATGGTGTCTGAGCAATAGGTCCCCACAGTGGAACTTAGTCTAAGAGACCTTGTTACAGTCTGATGTTTTTTACTGTTAGGGAATTTTTCCAAATATTCATCTCAGAGTTAATTTTTTTTTTCAGTTTTGTTCCCTCCCTCCCTCCCTCCTTCCCTTCCTTCCTTCCTTCCTTCCTTCCTTCCTTCCTTCCTTCCTTCCTTCCTTCCTTCTTCTTTTTTTTTTTTTTGGTCAGTCATGGGGCCTGAACTCTGGGCTTGGGTACTGTCCCTCAGCTCCACAGCGCCACTTCCGGCTTTTTTTCCTCTGCTTATGTGGTGCTGAGGAATCAAACCCAGGGCCTCATGCATGCAAGGCAAGCACTCTACCACTGAGCTACCTTCCCAGCCCCTCAGTTTTCCTTTTGAAGCTACTATATATGACTATTTTACTGTATGCTATATTATTATTTTATTGTAAAGGTAATGTACAGAGGGGTTACAGTTTATAAGTCAGATAATGAGTACATTTCTTTTTTAACAGTATCACCCCCTTCCTTATTTTCTCCCAGTTTTTCCTCTCCTGAATTCCTACCCCCAATGAATGTATCTTTTATTTGGGTTAAAAAAAATTTTTTTTTCCTGTTATGAAGGGAAAATCAAGAAACAATTAGTGGAGGCCTTAATTTACCACCAACATATGATTCATTATAGTGTAGCTAACTTTAGGCCCTCTGAGAGGTTTTATCATTAGTCATACAAATAACTTTTGTAATAAAGGAAATAAAAATCACCTATGACTTCACATCTGAAAACAATATTTTTATTTCTACTGGTTCTTTTCTGGCTTTTATGTATGTATGTGTGAGTATATGCCAATTTTCTCCTTAAGTACCTTAACAAATATATACAGAATTTCATATTCTGGTGCCTTTTCACTTATTAGAGTAGGCATTATTAATGTTTAGAAAGCCTTTTTTGGGGGCTAGAGGTATGTTTCAATGGTATAGTGTTGATATAGCAAGTAAAAGGCCCTGAGTTTAAATGCCAATACTGCCCTTCCCCCAAAAGCCTTTTAATTTGTGTGTGTGTGTGTGTGTGTGTGTGTGTTTGTGTTTTTGGGCTTGAACTCAGGGGCTTGGGACTGACCCTTAGCTTTTTCACTCAAGGCTGGCAATTTACTACTTAAGCCACAGCTCTACTTTTGGCTTTTTGCTGTTTAATTGGAGGCAAATGTCTCAGAGACCTTCAGCTCTGAACTATGATACTCAGGTCTTAGCCTCCTGAATAGCTAAGATTACAGATATAAGCTGCTAGTACCCAGCCTTTTCCAAGTCATGTTAATGATTCTTATAAGTGTTTTGGTATTTCCTTTTCCTTTTGGTATTTTCAGTTTGAGACCAGCTCAAGAATGGAGTACAGGAGTATACCAACACTAATTCAGATACCTTCATTTTAAAAATGCCTAATAAGCTGGGCACTAGTGGCTCACGCCTATTATCCTAGCTACTCAGGAGACAGTTCACGGTTCAAAGCCTGCCGGGGCAGGAAAGTCCCCGAGATTCTTATCTCCAATCAACCACCAGAAAACTGGAAGTGGCACTGTGGCTCAAGTGGTAGAGCCCTCACCTTGAGCGCTGAAGAGCTCAGGGACAGTGCCCAGGCTCAGAGTTAAAGCCCCACAACTGACAAAAAAAAAAAAAAAAGAAGCCTAATAATCTATTATATATAGATCATATTTTCTTTATTCAGTCGATTCAGTAAACATTTGAGTTGCTTCTACTCTTGGCTTATATGAACATGAGTTGGCTGTAATAAACGTGTGTAAATATCTCTTTTGAGAGTCATCTTTGAATTGTTTTAGATATATACTCAAAATTGGATTGCTGTATTTTACAATACTTCCATTGATTCTTCTTTTTTTTTTTTTTTTTAACTTTTATTTTAAGTAGTTGTACCTTTGTTTTTCAGTTCTTGACTGCAACACTCATACAAGGCTTTTGCCTATTGGTGATTTTCTCTTTCCACCTTTCCTACATCCTGCCCCTTGGTCTAGGCCTTGTCCCTGAACCTTTTTTGTTTTTGCCAGGCCTGGGGCTTGAAATCAGGGTACTGTCACGCTTTTGCTCAAGCCTAGCACTCCACGCTTTTGCTCAAGCCTAGCACTCTATCACTTGAGCCACACTGTCACTTCTGACCTTTTCTGTTTATGTGGTACCGAACAATTGAACCCAGGGCTTTGTGCCTGCTAGGCAAGCATTCTACCACTAACCTACATTCCCAGCCCTTTTTCACTACATTTATTTATTTATTTATTTCTGTCTGTCTGTCTGTCTGTCTGTCTGTTATGGGCCTGAACTCTGGGCCTGAGCACTGTTCCTGAGCTCTTCAGCTCAAGGCTAGCGTTATACCATTTCAGCCACAGAGCCACTTCAGCTTTTTCTGCTTATGCGGTGCTAAGGAATTGAACACAGGGCCTCATGTATGCAAGGCAAGTACTCTATCACTGAGCCACCTTCCCAGCCCCTTTCCTACATTTATTAATTGGAGTTCTTTTTTATAAAAATTATTTTTTTTAAAGCCACTATATGCTAGTAGCTAGTGGCTAGTCCTGTGTCTTGAACTCCTGGCCTGGGTGCCATCCCTGAGCTTTTTCATTCAAGGCTAGTGCTGTACCATTTAAGTCACAGCTCAACATTTGGCTTTTTTAGCTGGTTAATGGGAGATAAGAGTTTCTTGGACATTATTGCCTGGGCTGGCTCTCAAGCTACAATCCTCAGATCTCAGCCTCCTGAGTAGCTAGGATTATAGGTATGAACCACTGCCACACCTGGCTTTTTTTTTTTTTTTGGGTCCGGTTGTGGGGCCTGAACTCTGGGCCTGGGCTCTTCAGCTCAAGGCTAGTGCTCTACCACTTGAGCCACAGCGCCACTTCCAGCTTTTTTCTTTTTTGCTTATGTGGCGCTGAGGAGTTAAGCCCAGGGCCTCAAGCATGCAAAGCAAGTGCTCTACCACTGAGCCACCTTCCCAGCTCCCACACCTGGCTTTGATTGGAATTCTTGTGTTAGGAAGAATTGTCTCTTCTTCCCCATTTGTTTATTTCCTCAATTATTTATTTATGTCAGTATGAACTCTTTTCTCCCATGAGTTAGAATGCATTTTCTGATTAGCTATTTTGTTGATCATATTGTCCCAGTTTGGGTTATTGAAAACTCCTTTAAGTTTCTTTCTGTATCCGTACTCCTATTATTTTTTGAACCTCCCTTATTTCCTGGCACTACAAAGTATGTTGGGTTCATGTTGTGTTTTCATTGCTCTAGCCCTAGATTCAGTAATTTCTCCAAGGAGCCTTCATTTCTTTTATTGGAGAACGTTATTTAGAAAGCAAGATGTGTTGGCTGGAAAGGCCTCAACCTCTGTGGCTTAGCTGTAGAATGGTAGAGTACTTGCTTAGTATTGTGAGGCCCAGGGTTTGATTCCTAAACTCCCAAAACCAAACCAAACCAAACAAATAAAGCCCAAACAAATTAGATTGTGGGTGCTAGTGTGCCTGGACCTGAAGTCTACTCTGTTTCTTGAAGTAATGTGGTGTAGGAATAGACTTTTTTTTTGTCTGTTGTGGGGCTTGAACTCTGGGCCTGGGCACTGTCCCTTAGCTCTTCAGCTCAAGGCTAGCTCTCTACCACTTGGGACACAGTGTCATTTCCCATTTTCTTGTGGTTTATTGGAGATAAGAATTTCATGGCGGGGTTGGAAAGGTGGCTCCATGGTAGACTGCTTGCCTTGCAGGCATGAGTCCCGGGGTTTGATTCCTCAGCACCACATAAGCAGAAAAGGCTGGAAGTGGTACTGTAGCTCAAGTGGTAGAGCGCCAGCCTTGAGCTGAAAAGCTGAGGGACAGCATCCAGGCCCAGAGTTCAAGCCCCCACGGCCGACCAAAAAAAATAGATTAAGTAAATTAAATAAATAAAGTGAACCTCTTAAAAAAAAAAAAGAGTTTCATGGCCTTTCCTGCCTGGGCTGGCTTTGAACTGTGATTCTCAGATCTCAGCCTCCTGAGTAGGTAGGATTATAGGCGTGAGCCACCAGCGCCTGTCTTGGAATAGGCATAATTTTAAATATATATTTTAGGGGCTGGGAAGGTCGCTCAGTGGTAGAGCACTTGCTTTGCATGCCAGAGGCCCTGGGTTCGATTCCTCAGCACCACATAAGGAAAAATAAAAAAGCCGGAAGTGGCGCTGTGGCTCTAATGGTAGAGCGCTAGCCTTGAGCTGAAGAGCTGAGGGACAGCGCTGAGGCCCAGAGTTCAGGCCCCAGGACTGGACCCCCCCCAAAAAAAATATATATGTTATATATATATATTTTACTCCTTAATGCTACCTTGAGCCTTTTGCCCCAGTCTCCAAGATGGGAAAGAAACAGCAGCATCTGCTTTACAAGATTGTTGTGAGGTCATCTAAGACATAAGCATTTACCCGGTAGACACATAGGAGCTATGCAATAATAAGTTGTAACTGCCATCTTTGTTTTTACTTAACATTCATGCCATGAGCAGATTTTCTTCTCACTGAATAAAGTGGAACTTAAATAAAAATTGTCCTAAAACTACCTTCACTTAGTTGCAAACTCTCCCTTGGTTTTAGTTTCCTCATCTGTGAAGTGAAAAGGTTGGACTAGAAGATCTCTGAGATTACTTCCAGCTCAAGTGTTATTCTAAGTTACTCCTTAATTCTTTAGTTGCCTTTTCTCCAAACTAAACAGCCTCAATTCATTTTAATCTTTCCACTAGGACCTTTTATTCATCCCTTTGATCATTCCTGTGGTTCTTTGTTGGAACTTCTCCAGGTTGTCCTTCTCTTTGAAAAAAAAATAGTAAAAGTATCCACCTAGTTTTTATTGAGTACCAACTCCATGCCCAGAATGGTGTTGAGAATTGGGGCAGAAAATAAAAGAAGTGTAATTGCATCGTGTCCTAGTGGAACTTATAGAGGTTGTTTTTTAATTATAAAAAATGACACATAAGAACAGCTTGAGTTTGTTCCTGCCCCCACCTCTCTCATATCCAAAGGACCTCTAATTTTCAGAATCTTTTTAAAAGCAAAAGACAAAAAGGTAGTGGGGTTCCCTAATAAGTTCAGGATCCTGGGTGTGACCTAGCACCAGACAAGCAAATAAACAACCTAATGGTTATCTGACTATTGAGGGATTCTACCTTAATTAACCATGTCTTTCTTGGTCATTTCTCTCAGTTTTCACTCTTCTGAGTAATCCTACAGTGAATATGTCTTTCATATGTTTTTTTTCTTTAGGAATTTATTCTCAAAACAATGTATTTGCCTATAATCCTATCTACTCAAGAAGCTGAGATTTGAGGATTGATGTTTACAGCCACGCTAGGCAGGCAAATCCAGTGAGGCTCAAGTAATAGAGCACCAGCTCTATTAAAAAGATGAGCGGGGAAGGTGGCTCAGTGATAGAGTGCTTGCCTTGCGTGCATGAGGCCCTGGGTTCGATTCCTCAGCACCATATACACAGAAAAAGCTGGAAGTGGTGCTGTGGGCTCAAGTGGTAAAGCGCTAGCCTTGAGCTGAAGAGCTGAGGGACAGTGATCAGACCCTGAGTTCAGGCCCCATGACTGACCAGAAAAAAGAAAAAAGAAAGATGAGTGAGCCTTAGACCTTGAGTTTAAGGCCCACTACCAGCAATACTAAAACAAAAACAAAAGATTCTTAATGGTAAAATCTCCAATCTAGCCAGATGATAGTAGCTCAGAAGGCTGAAATCTAGGATTGTGGTTCAAAGTGAGTCTGGGAAGGAAGTAAACTACCAAATAAACTACTAAAAAAGCCAGAAGTGGAGCTCTGGCTCAATTGGTAGAGTGCTAGCCTTCAAGAAAAGAAGCTTAGGGTCAGCACCCAGCCCCTGAGTTCAAGCCCCAGGACAGGCAGAACAAACAATCCCCACCAAACTAATAGTTGGAGTGAAGATTAAAATTACTTATTAATATAAGTATATAATATATGTTATTTATAATAGTGGCTATTGTATTGCCAAATTACTTCTGATGAAGTGTAAACATGAAAGGCAATGATGGTGAATGGAAACTTCTATTTATTATCTTATTTTGTAAGAAGCACTTTACATAAGTAAGTCCTTTTCTCCTTTCCTTTTTCTTTGTCTGTTGTGGAGTTTGACTTTGCCCTTGCTAGATGGGTTCTCTATCACTTGAGCCATGCTCAGTTGCCCAGTGTTTCTTACATCTGTTTTTCATCTCTCAGTGGCCCCAGATGAGCCAATCCCAAACCTGCAGTGGAGCAGAAGAGATTCCAGGAATAGATGTACAACAAAGCAGAAAGTATCATACCCCAAATAAGGTGAGATTTCTTTGTATTTTCTAGGTTTATCAAATGCTTTCAGACAGATCTTATTTGGTTCTCAAAAAAATTGTGAGTTAGATGAGGCAAGGAGTTTAAGCAAATGTAGATGACTTACCTAAAGTTCTCAAAGATGGTAAGTAATAAACCAACAGAATATATGAACATAAAAAGCATTCAATTGGTACTTTTTGTTTTAGATGACTTTTGCCTGCTTCTAGGCAATATTTTTCTTTCATTTTCCTGAGTTCAAAATCCAGTACCACCAAAAAGAAAAATGAAATTTTTTGCAACTAATTTTAGTTTATTTCTCTTTGATTAAATAGCTTCCTACGATCAAAGATTTCCCACAGCCTGTGGAGGAAAAGGTTGGAATCTTCACAAAGATAATAGAAGCCATGGGATTTACAGGACCTTTGAAATACAGTAAATGGGTAAAGTTCTTAATTTTCCTTTGAGGCTTTGTCCTTTCTGCTGGTAATAGATTTTTTTTTTATTAAAGCTCATGCTTTTATGAAATGTGTATATTATTTTGAGAGTCTTCTCCAGATTGCACTTGCTCAACCTCTACTTCCAAGTCAGATTTATGCAAGTAAAATTCTCAACCTGATTCCTTTTTTTTTTTGTCGGTCGTGGGGCTTGAACTCTGGGCCTGGACGCTGTCCCTCAGCTCTTCAGCTCAAGGCCAGCGCTCTACCACTTGAGCTACAGCGCCACTTCCGGTTTTCTGGTGGTTTATTGGAGATAGGAGTCTCACGGTCTCTCCTGCCCGGGCTGGCTTTGAACCACGATCCTCAGATCTCAGCCTCCTGAGTAGCTAGGATTACAGGCGTGAGCCACCAGTGCCCGGCTCAACCTGATTCCTTAGAATGATTGTCAGTAGAAGGCATGGCAGTAAGATAGGAGTTTGGAAGTGGAGGTATGGCTCAAGTGATAGAATACCCACCTTGAGCAAAAAAAGCTGAGAGTTCAAGGTCTTTAGTTCAAGTACCCATTCTCGTGCTTGGGTGCACACGCACGCACACACACACACACACACACACACACACTCACACTCACATGCACACACACACAGAGACTGGGCTTTTCAGGTTCTACTTCCTGGTATCCCATATAGATAAGTTGGAAAGAGCCAGGTGTCCTGATGATAACATTCTTTTTCTAATTTTCTTAATTGTTATTATAAAGATGATATACAAAGGGGTTACAGTTACATAAGTCAGGTCATGAGTATATTTCTTTTTTTTTTTTTTTGTCGGTCGTGGGGCTTGAACTCTGGGCCTGGGTGCTGTCCCTCAGCTCTTCAGCTCAAGGCGAGCGCTCTACCACTTGAGCTACAGCGCCACTTCCGGTTTTCTGGTGGTTTATTGGAGATAGGAGTCTCACGGTCTCTCCTGCCCAGGCTGGCTTTGAACCACGATCCTCAGATCTCAGCCTCCTGAGTAGCTAGGATTACAGGCGTGAGCCACCAGCGCCCGGCATGAGTATATTTCTTTTTGGACCATGTCACCCCTTCCCTTGCTCTCACCCAGTTTTTCCCTTCTGTCCCCATCCACAAGTTGTATAGTTCATTTTCAAAATGGTGTCTAGTGAGGATAATATTCTTTTTTTTTTTTTTTTTTGGGTCCGGTTGTGGGGCCTGAACTCTGGGCCTGGGCGCTGTCCCTCAGCTCTTCAGCTCAAGGCTAGCGCTCTACCACTTGAGCCACAGCGCCACTTCTGGCTTTTTTTCTTTTTTGCTTATGTGGTGCTGAGGAATTGAACCCAGGGCCTCTGGCATGCAAGGCAAGTGCTCTACCACTGAGCCACCTTCCCAGCCCCAGAGGATAATATTCTTTTTTTTTTTTTTTTAAACCAGGGCTGAGAGCCGAACCCACGGCCTTGGGCGTGCCAGGCGGGCGCCCTTCCACTGGGCTAAACCCCCGGCCCCGAGGATAATATTCTTAAGGAAACATTAGTCTCTGATGAATTAATTTTCATATGTAATTTTCACTAGGTCATTAAAACTTTCTTTGGAATTTTACAAATAATGATCTTTTTATTAAAACTGATATTGTGAGTTACTATAATTAATTAATTAGCTCTATTACTCCTAATCAACTCATAGCCTGGCATGTCATCTGTTGTACAGTAGTGGCTACAAATGAATGTATGCCTTCTCTGCATAGTAACAAATGTTAGAGGTTCAATTCTCTTAGCCCTATTATCAGCTATTACTACCATTTCTTTCTATCATGGCATAGTACCTCAGAATGCTTTTAAGGGTTGCTAACATATTGAATAGGCCTAATAATTCATAATCAAAGCAAATTAACACAAAGCAGTAGGGAAGACTTTTCTAGAAAATATTGCAACTTTTATGAGAGCAACAAAGTAATACAACCATTTAAACCATTTTAATTAGCTGGATTGAAATTAGAATTTCAGTTTTAATATGGATTTTTACCTTTGGTTTCTTTTTTTGATTGCTTTTCTTACCAGCAGTTCTCATGGCAAGAAATACAAGGTTCTCTTTTATATGAATTCAGCAATTGTGAGTCCAAAAGCCCTAAAAGGGGCTTTGAAATTTATAGAGAAAATACATCCTCACAGTGATAGTCTTGAGACCGTTCTGAGTCATCAAAGAAATGTTAATGTTCATTGAAGTTATTTTTTACATCTGAAATTTTTTGACAATTGATAAAATGTTGATAATGTTATAAACCATAATTTTTTTCCCTATAAAAATAAGGGGAGCCAGGCACCAGTGGCTCACACCTGTAATCTTTATTACTCAGGAGGCTGAGCTCTGAGGATTGCAGTTCAAAGTCAGTCTAGGCAGGAAAGTCTGTGAGACTCTTATCTCGGATTAAACACCAGAAAACCAGAAGTGTCACTATGGCTCCACATGATCAAGCACTAGCCTTCAGCAAAAGAGCTCAGGGACAATGCCCAGGTCATGAGTTCAAGCCCCATGACTGACAAAAAAAGGAGGGAGGGTTATATTATAATTATGGTTTTTGGATTTAAAATGTTAAAAAATGTGTTTCACTTGAAAGTCAGAAACAGATCATCGTAACTACCGAAGAGGCTAAGACCTGGAGGCATGAGGTTTGAAATCATCCAAGGCAAAAAAAGTTCCTTGGATACTCCATCTCCATAAGCAGAATACTAGACTGGGGATGTGGCTTACACACACACACACACACACACACACACACACACACACACACACACACACACACACACACACACACACACACACACACACACACACACACACACACACACACACACACACACACGAGGGAAATGAGGCAGAAATGGAAAATTTTATTGTTGTATTCATTTTTTGGTGATTAGGTTCCATTAAGTTGTTATCATATTCTTTGTCTAGTCTGATATTTCTTTTATGATTCCAGAGAGAAAATTGGCCACAATTTGGAGGATTGCTAAGTCATTAGGAAGATTCCTTTACTTTGTGTGTGGGGGTGGGGGTTGTGGGGCTTGAACTCTGGGCCTGGGCACTGTCCCTGAACTCTTCAGCTCAAGGCTGGCACTCTACCACTTGAGCCATAGAGCCACAGAGCCACTTCTGGTTTTCTGAGTGGTTTATTGGATATAAGAGTCTCATAGACTTTCCTTCCAGGCTGGCTTTGAACCTTAATCCTCAAATCTCAGCCTCAGTAGCCAGTATTACAGGCTTGAGCCATCAGTGCCCAGCATCCTTTACTCTTAGCTTAGATTAGCGCTGATTTTTCTTGGTAATTTTAGTGACTTTAATCAAGTACCTGATTTTTTTTTTCATTTTTAAGTTTAAAATTACCTACTTTGTATAATATTCACTTTTAAATTTGTGACATTAAAACATCAAAATATGACATTATAGTTTTGTGTGTGTGTGTCTGTGTGTTTGTGTGGCAGTGTGTGTCTGAGTATCTGTGTGTCTGTCCCTGTGCCTATGCCTGTGCCTGTGCCTGTCCTGAGGCTTGAACTTGACCTTTATGCTGTCCCGAGCTTTTCTTTTTTTGGTTGGTCATAGGGCTTGAACTCGGGACCAGGCACTGTCCTTGAGCTCTGTGGCTCAAGGCTAGTTAGCACTCTACTACTTTGAGCCACAGCTTCCTGAGCTTTTCTTGTTTGTTTTTTTGTTGGTCATGGGGTTTGAACTCTGGGTCTGGGCACTGTTCCTCACCTCTTCAGCTCAAGCTAGTGCTCTACCACTTGAGCCACAGTGCCACTTCTGGTTTTCTGGTGGTTTATTAGAGATAAGACTCTCTTGGACTTTCCTGCCTGGGCTGGCTTTGAACTGTGATCCTCAGATCTCAGCCTCCTGAGTAGCTAGGATTACAGGTGTGAGCCACCTGTAATCTCCCTGAGATTTTTCTTAACGCTAGTGGAGCCACAGTGCCATGTCGAGCTTTTTTGGTAGTTTGTTGGGGATAAGAATCTCAAGGACGGGGCTGGGAAGGTGGCTCAGTGGTAGAGCGCTTGCCTTGCATGCCTGAGGCCCTGGGTTCGATTCCTCAGCACCACATAAGCAAAAAGAAAAAGGCCGGAAATGGCGCTGTGGCTCAAGTGGTAGAGTGCTAGCCTTGAGCTGAAGAACTGAGGGACAGCGCCCAGGCCCAGAGTTCAGGCCCCATAACCAGATCCAAAAAAAAAATAGAATCTCAAGGACTTTGTTGGCCAGGGCTGGCTTCAAACCATGACCTTTAGATCTCAACCTCCCAAGTAGCTAGAATTATAGGTGTGAGCCACCAGCAGGTGCTGGTGCCTCTAGTAGATTTTGGTAGGAAAAAGTAAGTATGACTTTTATTTAGAAAGATGTCACCTTTCTGGCAATGTTGATATTTATATTCAATTGCTATGGCAAAATTCTTGGTTTTCTATTTTCATAATTATTTGATTAAGGAGTGAAATGTCTGCTTATTTTTTCCATTTCAATAATATGTACTATGTTAGCCCTATATTTTTCTTTAGTATTTTCATGTATAGTTCTCATTTTTTGTGCAATCATATTAAGGTTGTTTTTGTTTTTTGTTTTTCCAGTACTGGAGCTGAACTCAGGGCCTGTACACTGTCCCTTAGCTTTTTGCTCAAGGCTGGTGCCCTGCTACTTGAGCCATACCTCTACTTCTGCTGGTTTTATTTTTTTTAATTTTTTAATTTTTTTTTTTTTTTTGGTCCAGTCATGGGGAATGAACTCTGGGCCTGGGCGCTGTCCCTCAGCTCTTCAGCTCAAGACTAGCGCTCTATCACTTGAGCCACAGCACCACTTCTGGCTTTTTTCTTTTTGCTTATGTGGTACTGAGGAACCCAGGGCCTCATGCATGCAAGGCAAGCGCTCTACCACTGAGCCACCTTCCCAGCCCCTTCTGCTGGTTTTTGCTGGTTAATTGGAGATAAGAATCTTAGGCCTTCCTGTTCAGGCTTGCTTTGAATTTTTTTTTTT